CATCAACTTTCAATCGATCGTTAATATCTTGCCATCGCATACCATATACAAGACGAAAAAATTTTCGAATTATAATCAGTCGAACATCAATGTCTTTTCCATTCGATGATGAAGTATTAGGAAAATATGTATAGTGATCACGTAGATCACGCGCATTTTTGCGTAAAATATCGCATAATTTGATTAGATCTCGAAGATTGATTTCACGTGGACCATCTGTTTGTCCAATATCTCGTGATGAAACAAGTTTATGAATTTCCTTATGTAATTCAAATACTTTATCTAATTGTGAATGTGTTAGTATAGGCCAATCACCTGTTTCAGTTGTTTGAGAATTTCTATTTTCTGGTAATAAATCAGAAAATACAGTTGTTACAATAAGTTTAAGCTCAATATCATCATATGGATCAAGTTTTACTAAAGTAAACATACGAATAATCGATCTTGGTAAATGACTACGACCTCCTCCAATATTTGCTGGATTCATAGTAGCATAAATTCTTGAATTAATATTTTTAAGAACTTCTGTACTTCCAGTTAAAGTTAAACATTTAGTATCATGTTCCAACAATGGAACGATCGATTCTAAAACTTCTGAAGGAGCCAAATTAATTTCATCAAATAAAATTGAATGTTTTTTACGTAGTGCACGCGTGACAACACCATCTTGCCATACAAATGCACGTTGATTTCCATCACTTTTTGCAACAATACTACCGAATAATTGCTCTACAGTTGTATTTGCTGACATATTGATACGTTCTAATTTTTCATTCCTTAATTTACATACTTGATCAATAATTGCTGTTTTACCGATACCGGGTGGACCTTCAAGAAGTAGTGGAACTCGTGCTGAATCAGCTGTAAATAATCGAGCAATATTTTTACATGTTGTTTTTGTTGAAGATATACGTAAACGAGGTATAACATCATTTTCATTGTCATCATCATGCAAAGGCATACAAATGCCACAATATGCACTTCTAATTGTTTTATTTCCAATTTTGATGAATTCTGACACATGTTCTAATGTGGGCTCCTTAAATATTGAAACAATCTTATTTTGAATTTCATTCAGTTCTTCTTGTGACAATTTCCATGATTTAATCCATGAATTAGCAATATCCTTGCCTGATGTTACGCCATCCAGTAAAAAGAAGCGAACTGCTACTAGAAGTCTCTGATTCAGATCAAGTCCAGTAGTAGATGAAGATAAACAATCTACAACTCGAAGAAATCGTGTCAAATCATAATGAGAATATTCATGGCGCACAGTAATATCAGATGCTTCTGCCAATGTCTTTTTAAGTGAATCAAGTTTTTCGCAAATATTTTCAGCTTCAACGTTTTCATTGATAGATAATCGTCTTTTCAATTCCTCTAACAGTACTTCTTTCGCTTCATTATCATCATAACCTTCTACACGGATTTCAGTAAAACGTGATCTGGTTGCTGGACTAATTTTAATTGGCTCTGATTCTGATCCATGATGAACGGTTGCAAATAATTGAAAACCGGGTAGAATATCAATATTTGTGTTTGTACATGTTATGTCTTCAGTAACAGAAAAAGATGGAGTTGGTTCTAATAAACTATTTAAACGTTCTGTAGCTGCTTGATTTGCTAAATCAAAGTCTTCTATGAGAATAGGTTGACCGAGTTTTACAGCACGAGTTACAGCTGCATCGCGAAATAAAAATATTGGTTTATTTCGATTAAATGATTGTGAACTAATTGTATTCCAGACAAATTTAATTCGTTTGATTAATTGTAATAAAGCTTCATCCTCTTCTATTATGTTACTATCTTTGATGTGAAGAAGCGAAGATAATAAATTTTTAGCAGCTGTCAATAATTCACGTGGTAAAGTTTGCAATTCTTCATCATTTAAATGTTCTAAATTTCTTTCAAAATCAACTGGATCATTTACGAGATCAGTAGATGACTCAATCATTGATGATCTTTCCATGTCAAAAATAATGGAGTAATATTCATTTTTTGTAGTTTGATCATTATCATTGCTCATTTCTTGTACAGAATCTTCAACAGAAGTTTGATTTTCAAAAGTTTTTAGTTCTGAATGTAAAGTTTGTTCTTGGTCATCAGATAAATGATAATTATCGGATGAAGCTCCGAAATCTCCAAACGGATTCGATTCATCAGGTTCATAGTAATCATGCATCCAGTTATCCGAATCATTCAGTTCTGTCTGACC